CTCCCATACACAGTCTTAATGGAATTGCCCTCTATTAGGCAGACCCTCCCCCCCTCCCCAATTCCAGGACCTACGCCCACCTCGCCGAGGCCTTCAGCCGGCCTGGGAGAATTAATTTCAGTTTGCCCACCCCTCTCCCTGGAACCCCCTAAAACCCGGACTAAAAATTTGATTAAAAATCCCCTTAGGTTGCGTTTTGTTTGAAGAACATTAGTTCTTGGCTAGTGCTTGGCTAATCAATTCCCTTAGAAAATTAATGCAGTTACTCTTTAGGTTAAATATTTTTTCTTCTGGGGCCATATTTACAAACGGCATCATTTCCTCAGTTGGCCTCAAAAGAGCAGAGATAATGTCTGGGCAAATGTTGGATTGATGATGATGATCTGTAGTGCCTTTTATTTAAAACCTCATTTTTGTTACTTCCATGATTTCTCCTGCAATCGCCTCTATCTTCTCTTGTTTTAAACCTATCATGATAATTCTGGACACACTTCAGCAGGGTTTTAATTAAAAGAAAGGCAACTAGATCCACGAATATCAATACACCCTTTGTGTTGTTCAAGGTGTTGGTTTTAAATGCTGCTGAGTAGAAATCACAGGTAACAATATGAACCCCGCGCTTGTAATACCAGTAAGCATGGGTTAGAAAAACATAGTTCCATTTTGTGCCAATCCAGACATAAAATGTGAATTTAAAGCTGCACGTCTGTCACATTCCAACGTTTGCTTTTACTCTTGGCATCTTTTCCAGGTAATTATCGAAAGATATAAAGGAGAGAAGCAGCTTCCCGTTCTGGACAAAACAAAGTTTCTGGTCCCAGATCATGTCAACATGAGTGAGCTTATCAAGATAATCAGGTATTTAACCTGTAATCATTTGCATGCAAATTCACTTTTTGTGATACCTAAGAAACAAGAGGCCACCAGTTTTTATTGGGACTCTGTTGGCTAAGAACTCTAGGAATTGTTCTTCTGCAATATTAGGGGAGCGCCTAAGCCGAGACAAGCTACTATAATGGATAACTCAGCCAGGATTCCACAAGGCTCAGCTGACTTGTGGCAAAACCCAGATCTTAAAATGCAGCCTACTCAGGGGTAAAGCTGAAGAGGGGCAGGTGCTGTTGGGCTTTGGGTTGTCCCAAAGATGCTTTTCCAAAAGGCGACTGGACTTGCTTGGTTTTTCCTTGAAAACTTTTTGCTTCTCATCCAAGGAGCTGCTTCAGTTCTGACTGAATCAGTACTTTTGGGACAACCGTGAACTGAACATCATCTCCCTAGACCACTGCTGGTTGGTATTGAGAAGGGTGGGTCTATTCCAACCTGAGCAAACTAGGTGGGACCTGGAAAAGAATCCCAGGGTCCGTTCAATGCATTGATGGAGGGGGGGGGGNGGGGGGGGGGAAAGGATTCCGTTTTGTCAGCCCCTTCAAAATCTATGAACGGCCTTTGTGAGCCTGGCTGCGGTGGCAGGTATCCAGTCCCTGGAGGTCTGCACAGAAGGCAGAGGCTGAGAAATGCTTGGGAAGATCAGCTAAGTTGGGGGGGATCATTTCTGGATGCGATAAAAGAGGACGAGATTTTCATTCCTTTGGGAGTTCCCGAGGCCAGGAGTCCTGCAGTCGGCCTGCTGAGCCGAGCGCTGGTGCTGGTGTTTGTGGCACACCTTTCCTGAGCGGCTTCCTTTTCCCTTCCAGACGGCGGCTGCAGCTGAATTCCAATCAAGCTTTCTTCTTACTGGTGAACGGACACAGCATGGTGAGCGTCTCCACACCCATTTCGGAGGTGTACGAAAGTGAAAAGGATGAAGATGGATTCTTGTACATGGTGTACGCCTCTCAGGAAACGTTTGGCATGAAATCCTCCATGTAAACCTCTTGCCCCCCCCCCCGGCTTGTGGCCTAGCCTAGTTTTTATCCCCCCCCCCGCCCCTTTGCTCAGAAAAAAGAAAGGGATGTCGCGCCACTGATCTGCTCAGAGTAGTTGTGCTTTGCGGGATGTTAATGTCCCTTCCTTTTGTTTGTAAATATTTAACAGATGAGTGCCAGTATTGGACAAGCAGCCCAGCTTTGTAGACCCGCTATACATTTGCACAGGCATACTTGCTTTTTAAAAGCCTCTGGAATTGGAGCAAGACCCTAACATGCATGTTGACAATAATAATAGTAATAATAAAAATGGTATTACTCAAGTCATAGGAACTGGGGTAAATGTTAAATAGCCAACTGAAATACATCTGTGTGATATATCCTGTTAATTTATATTTCAGCTTTTAAAAACTGCTTCTCCTCAAAGGCAAGAGTTAAAAGTCTGCCTCTTTCATTTTCTTGGTGTTTGGAAAATCAGTGCATTGGGGGGGGGGGGGAGAGAGAGAGAAAAAAAAGTTAATTCCCTGGTATTGCTACTTTAGACAATACCAGCAAAACACCAGATTGCTAATTATAACTATATACCAAGCATAGCTTTAGTTTAGGAAGTGTGTATTTTAAAAATTAGGTTATGTACTTAATAGTTAAGAACGTTGCTCCAATATATTTGTATTCTGTCCTGCATCTTTTTTTCTTCTTTTAATCAAATCCGCCCATCTCGCCCTCCAAAAGGAGGGCTTCCCTTTATCCTTCAAATGGTAATAACAAGCAAGCGGTCAGATCAGGTGCAGGCAAAGGCGAGCCTTTTAGCCATCACCTTTGGGTGTCTTCATCTTTTCACCCGCCTAGTTCTTGAACTGGAACAGGTGGAACAAAGATTGAATCTGCGTTGCATCCGTACTGAAAACCTTGGCTTCCTTCCTTTTTAATTTCACACTGAACATAATTTCACTTTATTAAAGTCTAGACTGTATCTAAAATGACAAGAGTGCGTGTGGATTCGATTGCTACAACTTTGTATCTGCTGCATGTTGACTGAATTTTCATTTTGTTGTGAGTCCTGTGCAGAAGTATTTCAGATATCCATTTGGATTCTTCAGAAATGTAAATTTACTGTTATTTATGAATGTGCAGGTAGAATGGTGTTGTAGAAAGCTCTCTTCCAGCAAGAGAAACTAGGCTGAATCTCAATCCACTGCAAGAACTCGGCGTGCTAGCCAGCTTGTAGTTTGGGATTTCACCTATTCAGGGTTTGCTTTCAAAATTGTCACTGTGAGATCTCATTGTAAAAATGTAATGTCTTCTGTGCAACTTCAAACCATCAACAAGGATAACTGGAAAGACACTGCGGTCTTTTATTTATTTATTTTTCAGTACATTAAATTTACTCAGATAAAAACATTCTAAAAATGTACAATTTTACCTTTAACAAAGTATAATAAAACATAAAAATCCCAATACCAGAATACTTGACATTTACAGTTCAAAATCATATTAGGTAAATATTAAATATTTACAAAACTTTTGATATTTATATAAAGTTTCGTGCACATTTTGTAATACTAGGAGTAAAAGAAATGGCTCGAAACGGGCAAAAGGCATCCCTTTTGCTCCAAACGGAAAGTTATAACTGGAAAACATGTTAACCTGCCATTTGGGGACATAAATGTTTATTAACAGAATTCAGTTTACGGAGAGAGTTCCAAAGGAAGATGTGGATAGTGGTAGCTTTCTGAATTGCTGCCAACTTTAATTTCTGCTTCCAGGTAGAGCCTGTTAATAAGAGGGTGTCTACTTGTCTGCAACAAGAGCACCTTCGGCCAGCATAAGGAATCTAATCATTTTAGGGTCATTTCAGCCTTAAAATGAAGTGTATCTGGGAGAGCGTTTCCTTTAGGTGTCTTAAGAGTGTTTATTTCAGGACAATATGGAAGGCATCATTTTTAACAGAATTAGAAAGCTGCTCTCTTAATCGGATGCTAGCTTAGTCTTGTAGTGCTCCATTAGGCTCTCGTTAATTAACTCCCATACCTGGCAAGCATCCTACAGTACAGTCAGTGAAAATAATCTTCCTTCAATGCAGAGAGTCTGATTTTTTTTTAGCAAGGAAATGCTTCATCCCCTCTAGGCCAGGATTTTGGGCAATCCTGCATTATGTGCTGTTTGTTTTTTAACATGAATTGAGTCACATTCCTTCAAGTCCTTCAGTGCAAAGTTGCAACCAAACTGAGGCACACAGTATGTTCTAAGAAAGTGTTTAATTGTTCTTCCACGTGAGACCTGCATGGGCATTTCTTCCTATGTGAAACATTGCCAACCACTTCTGAGTAGTGGAGAATATGAATGGAGAGCTATAAGGCAAACCTAATACTTTCAGAGGCAAAACAAAGTCCAATCAGGTTTTCTTCTGGGGATTCCGCTGCATTTTCTCTGCTATCATCAAAGCGGTTCTCTCTGAAAGTTGGAGGGCTGAGCAAGTGTTTTTTTTCCCATGGGGAAAAAAATCACTTTTTTTAATTGCACAGATGTAACAGGCAAGTTTCTAGAGGCTTCCCAATTAAGAAAACCAATCAGATTTTTATTCTGCTAAACTTGTGGGATGGTAGGTTTCCTTTTTTTTTTTAATGGACATTTGGCTCTTAGCGTATATTTCAGACTACTAAAAGTATTTTCATCTTTAAGAATAAACATGAACTGAAAGATGTAATAACCACGGCAGGATGCTTCTACTCATGGCAAGATTATTAAGGCCACGTAAATTGCTGAGTTCCCATCCACTTTGAATATAGTTTTTTGATTTTCCTAACAGTAACCATGTATAACAGCAGCCTCAATCATTCAGGGCACTAAAATGGGTTTTACATATTATGATCTTGGCATACTGATTTTAACAGCAACCACATTATTACCCCCCGAGTTTGGAGCGAACAAAGTTCAACTAACGTAAGGTCTGTCTCACACCCATCTAACCCTGTTTTGGTGAAGCCGAAGTGAGGAGATGGAAACGGAATACTCCATTGCATAGAAATAACGGATGTCAGATGCAGGCCTGCTAGAATATCAGTGTCCAAGGCAACAGATCAGCTCAGGAATGGAACTCGCCACTGCTTTGCGGAAAGCAGAGGGAAATTATTGGCACTGCCGCTCCTACTGTTCAGAGGGGAGCTCTCTTCTACTACAAAACAGCCCATTAAAAAAATGGGGAGAGCCAGCCAATCCCGTCCTACATGACTATGAATTGAGGCAGCCCAGATGATGAAGCAAGATGTGCAGCAGGGAAAATAAATTTTTAAAAACCGTTGCCTCCCTTTGACAGGTAAATCCACATTGTTTCAACCCTTTGGATAAGCGCTACTGGCTGCTACATAGCTACCAAAGCTAAATTTTTTATAGCTCATATCAAATGAAACAGGCAAACTATAAACCTTCCTAAGTAATGAAACGGTATGCTACTGTACTGTATTTGACGCTGTGCCTTCTAAACCCAACAAATTCCTGGAAGAGTCTGAATTTTAAAATTTATTACAGATGCAGAACACCATTTCCTATGGCAGAAACCGCTGAACTGTTAACACTTCCTTAAGTCATAGAAGAGATTTTTTTTTAAAAAAAAAAACACACCACCGAGTCTCTGGCACTAGACCCTTGGAGACTAAGTTTAATCCACCGCTGGTAACTTAGTCTTACGTTAAGAGTAGTTGCTGACCAACGTGGTGTAACTGTTTCCAGAATGAAGCATTCACCTCTGTTCTTTGGGAAGAAAAAGAGGGTTAAGTTTTTTTCCTTTATTAGAAGACCCACGTAGCCTGCTGGTGCCTGTTCCCAACATCTCTTCCCCTGACCTCAGTTTGCTAGAAGTGCAGATAGTCAGAACAGAATTATACATTCTTCTGTAGTGCAACCCTTTAAAATCCCAGAGTGTAGTGCCTGATTTATTTTGAGAGGAAAAAAAAAGGAGATATGTTTCTCTAGCTTCCGAGGTTGAGTCCAGCAGGCGAATGGCAGCGGCTGCCCCACTGGCCTTCAGCTCTCACTCCAACGCCAGATTATAACGTAGCTGCCCAGGAGTTTAATTTTTCAGCATGGAAGGTGAAATTATGGCAACATTCTTCGGCAAAAGTGCAGCAGTTTCTATACAACAGAAAAGACAGTTGGCCAGTCTCGCCTATCTTCGGGAGATCCAACATCTGTTATCGTTTTGGCAATTTCAGGAAAAAAAAAAAAGGGCTTCGAAGCCCCCCCCCAACGACCCCCAAAGTTTCAGTTCCTTCCTAGGGTTGAAGTAGAGCACCTTTGGATTAAAAAAATAACATTAATTAAGCTCAACAGATAGACTCCCTATGTTCCAATCTGAAGTTTCCTAATTATTTCATGGCCTTGTTGCCATCACAAAATATTGCATCTGAAGTTAAGGTCAGTCCGTGGACTCTAAACTCTCAGCCGGGGGAGCGTATTTTAACCGAAATGTACCTGAAGGAAAAAGAAGGAATGTTAAATTAGCACGTTTTACAATCCGAATTGTAGGAATCCCAATTCAGATCCGTAGATTTTCAAGATAACTGGGGACACAATACAGGTAATCCTCAACTTGCAACCACAACTGGGAGCAAGGAAGCTGTTAAGCGGGTCGTGCCCAGTTCTACAACTTTTTACTTAAGAGAATCCCCGCAGTCGTTAAGTGAGGCATGCCTTCATTAAGCGAATCCGGCTTCCCCCACTGGAAGATCGCAAGTGGTGATCACATGACCCTGGGAAGCCACACACACACACACACAATCGTAAATACATGCTGGCTGCCAAGCATCCAAATTTCGATCCCAAGACCATGGGGAGGCTACGCTGAGTGGGAGTCACTTCTTTCAGTGCCGCTGCAACTTCAAGCGGCCGCTAAGCAACTGGCCGTAAGTCAAGGACCACAAGCAGAGGTTCACCTTAAGGGCAGCGTTCTCTGAAGGAAGCCGAGACACCTCGGGGGCTACCCTGGCTGCCTTCCCGTCTCGGCCTCCTCAGGCCAAGAGAAACCTTTATCCCTTCAGCTTCTCCCGCACTACAGAACACTCGAAAAACAATTCGTTTTTTATACTCTGCCTTTCTTCTCGTCCTCATAACTTTCTAAAGTAGACAGGGCAGAGGGCGGGGGACTTGCACCCGGGCCTTCTGCACCCCAGCCCGTGTCCTTCACAACCACAGACCGGTGCTTCTACTAGGGCCATTCGGGGACTGGGTCAAACCTGGCCAAGAATGGCAAATTCACATTTGCATTTTCAACAAGGTTTGTTGTCTCTCCTGGTGCCCAGAACCACAGTCCCTGACTGCCTTTGGGGAGGGGCTAACCACCTCCAACAAGCCCCGCCCCTCCTCACCTTGTCGATTGAAATCCATCGGGGGCTGCTTGCAGTCCTGAGCTCGGTGGCCGCTGGCTCCACAGTTGTAGCAGGAGAGGTTCCCAGGCTTCTTGTGTCCCGAGCCCCCGCCGTGGTTCGCCATCCCCTGGGCCTGGTACACCCCTGCAGTGCCGGTCATGAAGCTTTGCATGGGGGGCACCGCAAAGGCGGACTGTCCGCTCATGAGGGAGTCCGGCGTGGGGCCGCCGCTGTACGGAGAGTGGACCATAGGGAAGGCTGAGCTGCTGTTGTACTGCTGGGTGTTGACGTAGCCGTTGCTGCACAGAGGGCTGAAGGGCAGGAAGGGGAACGTAAACATCGACGGCCCTGAAAAGGGGTGCTGGAAGTAGTTTGTGTAGCTCACAGTCATGCCACTGGAGCCGCAGTTCCCGCTGCAGCCGCAGGAACTGCAGACCATGCAGCCAGGCGGCTGCTGCTGGTGGTGGTGATGGTGGTGGTGGTTGTTCTGGTTAGGGACGGGCATGTTCCCCGCGGAGCCGCCCCCGCCATAGAAGCTTGTCTCCGCAGCCGAGGACAGCGTGGGGCTGGAGCTGGGAGGGGGGCAGCTGGGCAGGCTGCCCATGTTGGCGAAGGAGGTGGCGAGGTGGCTGCTGGAAGACGCGGCGGGGTTGCTGTTCGCACAGAAGGTGCTGCTGGGCATGGGGGCCACTGGCATGCCGCTCATGGCAGAAAAGGCCACTTTGGTGTTGGCGGTGTACAGAGCCGTCCGAGGGCTGATTATTGCTGGGGACACGCTGAATTGCATACTGTTGGAGCAGGACGGCTGCCCCGCCAGGGTGGCATCAGTGGGCACAGACGAAGAGACTAGGAGCTTGATGGGGGGACGGGCCATGTGGAAGACCGTGCTTGAGGTGACGGTGGCTGTGGTGCTGGTTTCCACCAGGATGCCCGGCGGCTGGGATGGTTTCGCCACTCGGTCCAGCGCAGGCGCATGGATCAATTTGGATCGTGGTCCGAAATGAATAGAAGGCGCAGAGGAGCCATTTTCAGGGACAGCCGAGAGCACTTGGAGGGGCTGATGCAGGGACGCCGGGATCCGATCCGCCAGGGTGTTTCCAAAGCTCTTCTCCATCTTGACACTATTCTGAGAGGGCCCGGATGAGAACTTTGTCCTCTCCTCTAAAGGTAGAAGCGAGTGCATAGGTGAAGAAAGGAGCTTCAGGTCTGCGTTTCCGCGCTCGGATTTGTGCATAGAGTTTAATATTCGCATCGGAGTGGCTGTCATCTGTCCTGGCAAGGGGTGGTGAGCGGACGGACTAGACCCTGCCTCGTTCTGCACGGGCAAAACCTGAGCGGTGGGCCGGGCCGAGCTGGAGCCGAAGTGATTCAGGATCATGACCGGCTTCTCCTTCTCCGAGGGCTCCGGGTGAATCTCCACACCTGCAAGGCAAACAGGATCAGCTGCAGCACCCTGGCCGAAGGAGGGACAGGGGCTGCCACAGAGTGAACGGGGACGCCCTTACGCCTCTCATTCTCCTCAGCGCTGTCCGAGCTTTCTTCCCGGGGCTGCATCCCCATGGGGCTGGAGGAGGAGCTGGAGGACTCTGAGGAGCTGCCTTCGCGGGGGGTGGTGGAGACCGTCTGATCCACGTCCACGTGCAGTTCTTGAGGGAGGAAAGCAGAAATCCTTATCAGAAACGAGAAGGCGAGGGCTGCGACTAAGGAAGTTGCTTTCTAAAGAAAGGCCTAACCGTGGACGTCACAGATTTAAGCAGAGGGACAAAAGAAGACAAGAGCCCTTTTCGGGATCACTCAGTCTTAGCTTGGTCCCTCAAGAGGCAGATGAGGAAAGGCTCCAGGCGGTACTAATGGGGGAGGCCCACTCATCTGACACGGGGACCTCTTTACCTGTGGCATGGTTCCCACGAATGTTCTGTATGGGGTTGATGTGAGTGGTGGGAGGAACTCTGGCCACCCCAGAGCTCACAGATGGGGAGGGGGCCGGGTTCATGGTCCGCTTCTCTGACTTTTCTCTGCCGTTAAAAAAAGATTGGGAAAACAGTTGAATACAATCATCATCATGTGTCTTCTAGCCAGACCGCAATTTTCAGATACATCCATGGGTCATCCCTTTCCCAACAGCAATTAACAGGTGGTTTTTCTATCAGATCATTTAGAGCTAGTACAGATACAGATCCTTCAGAGGTGGCTCAAATTTGCGATGATCCTGAACAAAAGGTGCTTCTGACAGGTTCTAGTTCTAGAACATTATAGGTATATTATACCCACCATCACACGACTCCAACCCAGTGCATGGTGACTGGCTCACTATTACGACACTGCAGTCCTGTGACCCTGATTTCCAGGGTTCCCTGCTGGCTTCCCACTAAGTCAATGGGGGAGCTGGCAGAAGTCCGAAGTTGCAGTCACATAATGTCCTCACTTGACGATGGCAACTGGACTGTCAGCATCGCCATCAACAAATGCTTTACAACCGTGTTGCTTAGTGACAGCACTGCCTTCATAAGTTAAGGACTACCTATACTGACCATGGGAACATTCTGGAACAGAAATTGAATGACCCCTCCATCTAGGACAGGGATCTGCAACCTTCACAACTTTAAGACTTGTGGAGTTTAGCTCAAATCTCTCCCAGTTCTTTTTTAAGAACATACAATACAATTCTAAGTTGTTGGGAATGATGTCTTAAAAACCAAGTTTCTTTAGAATTAGTTACAAATCACCCTGAGGGGAAACCTGCTTGCGTTTCTGCGGGCCGATACTTACTTTTCCAGTTCCAGCTGGGTCTTGAGTTTCTTCTTTGCTCCCATGGTGAGTGTTTCAAACTTATTAAGATCTTCTTCGGTGAGGCTCAAGAACTTGTGGAGAAAGGCAAATAATCAGCGCGTTTTCTAAACATAAAAGCATTTGTCAAATTGAGAATATTGAGGCAGGCATGATGAATTGGGATACATCCCAATAAAAGAGAGAAAAATATTAAAATGATAAAACTCAGCCTTGCACCGAATTCAATGTACAGCTAAAGATATCCCAAAATACTCAGATTAAAAATCTACTAGAAGATGCACATCAGAGCTGCTCTAGGTTTACGTGACATAATTCACCTCCACCAGAGGGCATCCCAGTATCATTTTTAAACCAGAATAAGATTGTCCTAGCTTTACAACATACCTCTGCAAAGACCTACTACAAAAGCCATTTTAAAAGTGGCATTCCTCTAAATAAAGCCTACACTGGCGCAGCTCTTTCCCAGTTTATTGAGAGATTCTGTTCGCTAGAAATACAATTTGTGAATTGTGAAACTGAATAGGGCAGGGAAAGGGAAAGGGAAAGGAAGGGAAGGTAAAAATAGAAATAGAAAAAACACTACATTCTTCTGGTGAGGCCTGCATCTTACCTTCTCCATTGTCAACTGTTTAAAAACCGGATAGTACTTGTGCAACCGGAGTTTTCGCAGCCAATCTAAAATTCCATTTTGCTCCTGGGCCTGTGGGTTTTGTGAGCTTGGAGTCATTAAAACAGGGGAAGAGTTTTCTACCTGGGTGCGGCTACATGCTAATGTGGGTCCGGCCCCGCCTGAATGAGAGCAGTGGGAGAGGGCAACGGCTGTGGCGGCCGCATGGGGCAGGTGGTGCTGTAGACTGTTCTGTGTGGCCTGGACACCTGCAACCCCACAGATGGGCCTGAAAGAGAGCAGGAAAGCCAAATAGGAATGAATCATTCTCTAGGAAGTAAGGGAACCACAGGTAGTCCTCAAGTTATGACTGTAATCGAGCCCCCACAATTACTGCCATGAGTCATGACAGTCGTAAAGCGGGTGACATGACTGAACCCGATTTTATGACCTTTTTTGCAACGGTTGCCAAAAACGTCATAAAATCAGGTTGTCATGTCACCCGCTTTACGACTGTCACGACTCATGAATGCTGTGGTCGTTAAGCGAACCCATTGCTCACTAAAGGGTGTGGGGATTTTTGCTGAAAACTGGAACAAATGCCAGCAAAAATGAAAATGCCTCAGCAGGGCAGGGAGGGAGCCTTGTAACGTGAGCAAGAGGAAGAACTCGTAGGAATACGAAATATGGAATTCACGAAAACAAGAAGCCTGCCTGGGAATTAACCAAAGCCATTTCCCCTCATTACACAGGAAGTGGAACTACATTTCGGCTTTTCTGTATTACACCTGCTCCCTAAATTCATCTCACCTTCCAGAAGCACCCAGCGTCGTACCCACTTTGTAATGGGAAGAATTGCCGGTACCTAAAAACAAGGACATCACAGTATTTAGAGAGTTGTTATTTGGCTAAATCTTTTTTTATATATACATATATTTTGGGGGAAGGTTGAGGTGGCGCTTGCTCTTTAAACTCACTTGAAATGTGAAATTGTGGGGAGTGACATGAAGTGCTGAAAAATTTCTTGACGTGGTCATTTTTCCAGACATGGGACGGTAATGATGCCAAATACCTGCAAAATTATTGTGGAGTATAATGTTTTCTTAGCTTCAGGCAAAACAAAACTAAGGCAGCAGAGCTGTCAAAAATAACTCATTAGGAAATTACAAATATATGAAGTATTGAAGTCGTGAGACAGCCACGATCCTCCCGGTGTGTGAGTTAAATCTGCCGAGACAATCGATTTAGAATTACAGGTAGACCTTGACTTATGACCATTTGTTTAATGACCGTTACAACAGCGTTGAAAAAAATGACCTATAGCTGATCCTCACACTTGGAACTGTTAAAGAGTGTCGACAGGTGAAGCCAGAATCTCTTAACAACCCATGACTGGCTTAACAGTAAAACTTAGGGACAGAGGTTCCACTCCCGATTGTGGTCATAAACCAAGGACTAGATTAGAATCTTCTTGCCCATTATATTTCTTGTAAGCAAACAACTCTGCTCGCATAATTTAATTAACTGCTTCTACCAACCAAACAGGAGTTTCAACAGTTTTGACTCTGGCTTTCCGCTGATGCCCTATTATTTTTTTAAGCAGACTTGTCTTACCAGATGCAGCTGGCCCTTAAGATTTATTTTTTTCTGCCAAAGTTATTCATTTTTCTCCTTACTCTACCCACACAATACCTCTTTTTAAGTTCTTTGCAAGAGCTTCCTGTTCGTTCCCAAATCTAGTACAAGCTTCTCAAACTGCTAAAAAATCAGAGGCCTCTTTAGATGGGAGCCACACATATGTTGCAGTGGGTTAATTAAATAAATAAAACGCTTCAGAGTGATCGATCCTGTGATTCTCACTTGTCTGGCTCTTATCAGCTTCAATCATCTCAAAGCCTTCTTGTTTCCTGAAATAACCCACTTTTTTTTTCCTCTTTCCATCTGAGGTTGTCCCTCCAAGCTGTTTTTCTTACTTTTATTCCTTCTTCAAAGCTTGCTTTATCTGGGAAACTTCTCAAATAACCCTAGAGTGCATGTATTTTTGTAATTTCGCCAAAGCAATTGCAATTAAAACAATGGTAGGCCTCTCAAAGGAAAGACCTATTAAACCTGATCCTGTGCAGTGCTAATTAGGAAGATGGATCTGGGCCCGAAATTATGCACTTCCAAGGAACCAATTCCCCCCCCCCCAGGTGCCCCAAAGGGACTGCATGAATTCCTACTGAGTAGAATTGTGTGAGGACTCTGCAGTACAGAATAACAGAACCAGGCACTGCTAATGAAAGCAGGGTGTGAGAGACAGAAGATAGATGGGCCATATGAGAATCTGAGCAGGGTTTCATAATCTGTGCTAAGAAACTATACTAAATAACTGCAACCAAAGCAAGGGATGAAGCTATGGCAGGGGTGTCAAACTCAATTTCACTGAGGGCCACATCAGCATTGCGGTTGCCCTTGGGGGGCCGGGTGGGTGTGGCCAGAGTGGGTGCAGCCTACTGGGTGGGCGTGGATGGAGTGGGTGCGGCCTACTGGGTGGGCGTGGACAGTTCTACATCATTTGCGTCAAGGATGCCTGTGGGGGCCTGGGCAGGAGTGGGACAGATCTGAGGGTCTCTGGCAGAAGGGGGTGGGAATGGGGCAAGTGCCAAGATGGCCACCACAAAATTGTACATTGGCTCCTGGCTGGCCTGGGCAGGGCCAAGGCAGCGGGGGCCGTTCCCTCACTGTTTCCAGGATGGCTTCGTGGGCCACATGAAACCACTTCGCGGGCCGCATCCGGCCCCCGGGCCTTGTGTTGACATGTCTGAGCTATGGCAACTAACTGTGGTTATTAAATAAGAGTTATTACTTTATTAGTTACATTCATTAACCGAACAATAAAACAATGAGTTATTACTTTATTAGATAGTTACATTCATTAACCGAACAATAAAATAATAACTGAAAGTCACACACCCGCACACACACAAATTTCAGAAACAAGTTCAAAGTATACCTAAGGTCTGATTCCAAGTCCATATGGCTTCTTTCTAAGTAAAATGAATCTGGACCAGCTAGAAAAGGAATGAATTTCTCCAAATTTTCTTCTGGACACAACTGACCTAACTAAGAAAGATAATGTTGGTTTTGATTATTGGCATTGTACTTTATTGCTTTCAGCTGCTGCTCAGAATCGAGCAGCACATGAATTGATTACTTAAAATATTCAGTATGAAACTGATATTTAGCATGCAAAAAGTACTCTTACTCTATTTAAAAAAAAAACAGCTGTGCAAGATACACTATGTATACATGCTTCCAAATGTACCTTAAAAACACCAGTTGTACAAAACCATTTTACCTTTGAAATGAAATCAGTCACTTCGGCAGAAGACTTTGTTACCACTGTCACTGAGGAATCAGACCACAAGACCTAAGGAAATGAAAAAAAACAAACCTTGGTCACCTTAATCGTTCTCAGAATGGACGGATGGATGGATGGGCCATGTACCATGGGGCAATTCTGCCTGCATTTCTGAAGGTTAATGGTCCATGTTTCCCCCAAAGTGGACTTAAACCAGGGGTCCTCAACCGTGGCAACTTTAAAACTTGTGGACTTCAACTCCCAGAATTCCTCAGCCAGCAAAACTGGCTGAGGAATTCTGGGAATTGAAGTCCACAAGTCTTAAAGTTGCCAAGGTTGAGGACCCCTGACAAACAATTCCACTGGCGTGATGCTTTATCCCAACACCGCATGAAGCAAACCCGGCTTGGGTTTATTAATCTGCAGCTGCTTTTCTGCACAAAATACATTCCATGTGGAATGTTCATTCTAAAAACCTTGCAATGGCCAGGCCTCTCACATGAGCGCTGTAAAAATTAGCCTACCAGCAAGTTTTAATGATAATGTCCTTGTTTTCTTCATCAATTTGTATAGTACTGTAATCAAAAGACTGTGGGCAAGATATTGTCCTTTGTTGCTCTCTTGTATATATTTACACCTGATGCAAGATCAGAGCGACAGAACTATTCTTCAAATAAATAAAGTGTGCTTTAGAAGTATATTTGATCTTGTACTAGTAAGACAGGCAATATTGGTATTCCTCGACTTACAACTATTAGTTTAGTGCCGGTTCAAAGTTATAACTGCTCTGAAAAACGTGAGGTACGACCCGTCCCCACTTACAGCTGCTGCAGCATCCCCAGGGTCACAGGATCAACATTTAGGCACTTGGTAACTGGCAAGTGTTTATGGCAGCGCCGCATCCTGGGCTCATGTGATTGCAATCTGTAACCTTTCCAGCCATCTTCTGGTAAGCAAAGTCGAAACCAGATATGCTTCATGACTGTGTGATTCACTTAACAACCGCAGCGATTTGCTTAACAACCATGGCAAAAAAAGGTCATAAAATCAGGCATGACTCACTTAAAATAACTGCCTTGCTTAGCAGTGGAAATTCTGGTCCCAGAATTGTGAATGTTACGTTGAGGACTTATATTGCAATTGTCCTTTTCAAAGCTCGGGCAAGGGCATCTGGTCCAGACTCCTCTCAGGAGATGACACAATCTCCTGAGCTAGGAGGGTTTGTAAGAGAGGATGGACCAAACCCCCTAAATCTGTATCCTCTTCTTCCTGCAGGTTCAACCAGCTATCTGAGAGCATCTTGTGGAAGTCCATAGAAGCTGAGCAATTAACTGAACTAACGTGTGCTTATAATACAAGACACACAAACCCAGTGTGTGTTTTGCACGTATTCTAGAGGCTTTGCGGACAGGTGGGGAAATACTGCCACTATCCTTTTTAAAAACAAGCAGGGATGCGATGAGCAGGAAGTTTCCACACGGCATTAACCACCAAATGCATGCGTTTTTCCAGCCCCGAGGATACTGCCAAAAGCACTGATGGGAGGAAAGAGTTTCAAAATACATTACGCAATTCAGGAATTTCCTTTTTCCAGCCCTTGCTTAACTTAAACTAAGAAACAGAAATGGGCAGGCAGCGTCTATTCTTCCTGGGGCTTTGTTGATTTCTTTTGCTTCTCATGGCTCTCTCTCTCTCTCTCTCTCTTTCCCTCTCTCTCTCTCTCTCTCTCTCTCTCTCTCACACACACACACACACACAGATGAAGCCTGCGAGGGGAAGAACAGCGTTCCTGGATGCGTTCATTTACGTGACTCTTTGCTTGCTTTTCTTCCACATATTTGCAAGGAAGAAAAGTGCCATCAAAATCCGATCAGAACTCCATGGTTAGGATAACGTCTCCAGGAATGGCATGCTGAAACATTGACCTCCTTGCTGGCCTCTCGGTTTGCTGTTGGCTTTCCTGATATTCATGTTATTTATGTGGGCTTCTGAAGTCAGGAAGTTCTGCATAGGTTTCCTCCTGCAAGTCTGCCACCGGAGGATTTACAGCCTGCTCTCAATGGCAAACCAAACAAGAACAGGAGCAGCTTTTTCACGGAAGCCCATTTCTTTAGACTGAGTTAAAGTTCAGATTGTACACCTTTCCTTATTTATAGACTACAGAGGGCAGTTGGCACATGTCATGTCCTCAGGCTAGATTCTCAGGGGATGGAATTTATAGTCTAAAATATCAAAATAAGATCATAGGAATTATGGTACTTTCCCTATCCTGTGAATGGAGCTGAATTATGATATTGTACTATTTTTAGATTTAGATATTCAAAATCTTCCATTTTTTTCTTCTCACTACCTTTTGTACGATTAACCTCAAGGCACAAAATATATACCCAACAACTTTAAGGAGATATTATTTAATAGGAGGGCACAATGACTGTATCACTGCTTTATCACGGTTACTTTATCACCGCTTATGGCGTAAGAGCTGCACGTTAACTTTCCCCTTGTATGTAATTATAAGCTGACTATTTCCTACAACATGAAGTGGTAAATGTCCAAGACACATACTTTTGGAATCAGAAGTAATGTAAAATTGAATATAATATGTTTTGAGGGCAAACTATGCTCCACATCTTGTTCCCTTCATCTCTCTTGTATTTCCATGTAAATCTTTGATACTCACCTCAAAAGAATATTCAACAATCCTATCATTCTTCTTGTGTGATAATCCCTTTAATTCCACCTTTTCAACGCTCACTGTTAAAAAAAGAAATACATGTTACCTATGGAAGAGCCACAGGCCTACTTTCTTTGTTTCAGAAGCAGAGAGGGCTGTAGACATCTGCAATTACTTCTACCGGTCCACATATGGATGGCAAATTCCATCCAAGATGCCTGGATGCTTTTTGTTGATGCCACACAGGAATGAAGTACAAGCAAGCCAATGTCATGGAACCAAGGTGTCCATGGAGATTCTCCATCATCCGGGTCATGGTTGTCCCAAAGGAACTTTTTCCAAAAGACAACTGGACTTGCCTGGTTTTTTTCCTCTGAAAAGGAAAAAAGCTTCTTGGATGAGAAGCAAAACGTTTTCAAAGGAAAAAAAAAACCCAAGACAGTCCATGTACCTTTTGGAAAAAGCACTTTTGTGACAGGTTCACCCAATGTTTGAATTTGAATGGCAATTTCTAGCTTCAAAAACCAAGATGGCTCCTTATACCATACAAAACATGAAACAATGCATTTGTTAATTGTACTGCCAGCCCTCCTTTTCTGCTGCTTTGGGGAAGAAGACCCAACCAGCAGACCAGATTAGCAAGGGAGCTAAGATCTCACAGGTCCCCTGCTGCCCCCAGCCCTGATAATAAAGCCGGGTCTGGAGGGAGTTCAGGAAAATGAGAGATGGAACTGACCTCACTTGGGGTGGGGTGGGATGGAGGATGTTCCATAAGGCGGGTGCCATGGCAGAGAAGGCAGACCTCCTTGGGCCTGCCAACTTAATTCCTTAACAGATGGGACCTGCAGCATGCCTTTTGCCAGATCTGATGGGCTAAAAAAAATTTTAGGCAGGCAACACACGCATGCCAAAGTCAGTGTCTTAAAGGTTTTTAACGTACATAAAATGCTCATCTTTGAAACAAGAGTTGACCGATTATCTCCTAGAGTAAAAATTTTTAACATTTGTTGGATAACATGCCAGCAGATAAAAAGAACATGTTTAAAAATACCCATGTGTGTAATCTGAATATTAATCTCTCTTGGAAAAGCTAACATTGTTTAAAAGCACTTTTCTTAACTAACATTCCTGTTATGTTCTTTCTCACTTGTCTCAAAACACATTTTCTCCCTATGTGGTAAATTAACAATTTTAAATGTTTAAAGTTCCTGTTTATTCTATCTTTCTGCAGGAAAGTCATATGAACTGAATCCAATTGAAACATCTGGATTAACCAGTTGGATTAATGCTTACATTTGTGTCATAATTAAATGTTCTTAATGTTATTTTTCATCTTTTAATTCATAGGATGTAGTTTCCACCTAAAACTTTATCAGAAATTGAACTAATAGGAAAACAGATCATGCCACCAGTAAGCAAATGCTCAATCGTTATTTAGATAATCACATCACAAGCACGCTAATACCAAGAAAGAACTGAATAGTTTTAAAAGAATACAGAAGAATTGTTTGATTGACTGAACCTTAAAATAACTGCTTGAGGAACAGAGAAGTATATCCATATTACTAACTTTGCACTAGCTAGCCCTGAAAGAGTCACATGGTTTTATTAGCAATTAGACACAAGAGCACAGAAAGACTATAGATTTTAATAGGAAAATAGGATAGTATTCTCTAATATTTAAACTTGTTTTATACCTAGTCTTTATATGGATCCCACCATAAAATGTGAGAAACAGAAATTTAGCAGTTGCATTTCTTTCTTCTTTCTCTCTGGTTTTACACCAGGAAGATGCCAGAGAGACCTACACAAGGATGGCAATGCTAACATATCCAGTTACTACCTTTCTGCTACAAATGCAACCACAGATATGAAACACACATTAGAAACCCATTAAACCCCACTCATGTGGACAACATATGGAACGTTCCGTTCCAATTTACAGTACTAATACTTAATTTCCTGTCTGATTCTGCAAATTCATTCCTTTTCATTTTCAGACTGTGAATAACTTTTTCATGTATTTCCAAAAGCAGGTTCAAGATTAAAAGATCTTGGGTTTCTTTTATTATACTTGGTTTCCTTTCAATATTAAAAAAAAAGTTAAAATCAAAACAAAATATGAATTCAGTGACTAGACAAGTAGTGAAGTCAGCATCTTAAGATAACCACAATGCCCATTAAGTATATTGGGAATTATGAGAAAAACATATAACTGCTATTTTAAAAACATGAGTAATCTCTGGGACAGGAAACTAAAACTCAGATGAACATTATTTTTGCACAAATAGCCGGACTTCAATTTATTATACTCTCCGTTAAAAACATGACATTCTTAAACATGTTCTCTAGATAACTGTTTATACTGTTTCATGTATATAGATATATCAAAAACCACAAATATTTTTCAACAAAAAATATCCCATCGACCTAGAACTAAGAGTAGCATATGTCTTTCAATCTTCAAGGAAAAAAATGAGTGTATATACACTTCATTGTAAACTAGGTCTACAATAGGATATAATCTGCAAGTTTACATCCTCTACATCAGAGGTCCCCAACCTTTTGGGCACCAGGGACCGGTTCCATGGAGAAAGGTTTTTCCGCGGACCGGAGGGTGGGTGGTTTTGTGTGTTGCCTGCATCCCACGGATGGGCCTTTGCGGAGCAGTTGCTGGCATACTGCGGCCCGGTACCGGTCCACGGACTGGGGGTTGGGGACCCCTGCTCTACATGAACTACATAAACAATAATAGGTACTGTGTCTTTTTTTAAATTAATCACTTAATCAAATAATATTCTTAGGATGGCTTGATCTCAATATATTTGAATTTCTGTAATAATGCTTGACATAACTTATCAAGTTAGTTTGAGCTAGCTATGATATCTGCACCACAATTCCATTCTATGGGGTCACACTTAGGACACATATCAAAGCGTTAGGCAATCATTTACTGTATGTATTGGTTTCACAATGAATACCTATGGATTAGAAAGGCCCTAGAGCAGAGGTGTCCAACCTTGGCAACTTTACGACCTGTGGACTTCAACTTCCAGAATTCCCCAGCCAATTCTGGAAGTTGAGGTCCACAAGTCTTAAAGTTGCCACGGTTGATACCAGCCCTAGAGGATATCAATACTGTAATATAATTACAGAAACATACACACATCCCACATACAATAACAGAAAAAAACAGACGTATTAACACACACACACACCCAAAAAAAGCTTGGCAACAATTGTAATAGCTGGAGGAGCAAGTGACTGGGCAACCTTCTGCAGATTAATTGCACCAAATCAAAGCACTGAGTCACCACGTTACCAAACACCGGATCCCAGTAAGCTCCAATGAAAGTTTCCTGTGAATTCTGCAGAAATGAATATTTTTATCCCCTTCAAAGGAGAGTGTAAGGACTTTGCATCTTAAGAAGACAGAACTCTTGGAATATTTCTTCCAACAGGCATCTTTATTAAGATAAAATGGTTGCAGGCGTTCTAGACAGGACCTGGGGCCCAAGCCCTACGGTTCAAGGTTTTAAGGGGTTCCCAACAGCCCCACCCCACCCCACCCCACCCCACCATCCTTCCAGGGACAATCCCAGGCGTTACATTTCCAGGTGGAAGGGAGACTTCATGGAGGAGTAGATGAAAGCTGATGGCCCCATTGTTATGATTAGTCCTTTTGGTGGTATCCACATTCAGTCCCTTTGAAGTTGTACCGAAGGAAGTGAGGGCCATAAAACCCCTTTGTTCACCCCCCTTCCCCTTCATCATATGACAGAATCCAGAGAGGGCAGAAATGGGATTTTCCATAGTCGATAACTAGAGATGAAATATAATTGGATTCTGACAGAGCGTGAGAGTGGGCCGTTTGCACCTGTACCACTTTCAAAAGCAACTAAACTCCTCAGTCAGCTGAAGCAGAGGAGGAAGGAGCTGAGTGTGCCCTGAGCTGACTAAGGTGTCTCCATCCAGGAGCTGCAGGACCTGTCTCACCCTCTTCTATACTGGCAAGCCAACTCCTGCCCAAGCTTGGCTTTTACCCCTATTATTCCAGACAATGTCACAAGAGCTTGCAGAATAATAACGCCAGCAGTCAAGAGCAACTTCCTTGTGGTCTAGGGTAGGTTAAGAACTGGCTGCCTAACATCTTTGTCATTTTCGACCTGTCATTTTCTCTTATTTCACCCAGGCATCAAATGTCTGTCTCTGAACAGCTCACAATTGTAATGCATGCTAACTCTTTATTTTGGCATTACTGTGTTGTTACTTTGGTCTGTGACGGTCAATGAAGATTGACAGGTAAGCCTTAAAGAAGATGCGGGAGATCAGATGACAGGCCGGCACAATATTATGCACAAACAAGGACGATGCCTCAAGTGGTAATCTTTTCAAAATTCAGAAACAAAATGTGTAGGTGCCACAATATCAAAACTGTGAAAAAGTAGGGATTTCATGTATTTCAAATGAACATGGATTTCTTTATGAAGGATTTCAACTCCTAAATCACTTCTGCGAAGTATTTAACCTACTGCTGAAAACTTCTTTTTTCTCCCTGAATATTCCTCTTTTAGCCAATTCTACACTGTACACATTAATTTGAATCTTAATAGCAACAAACCCCCTCACTCCCCAACTACCAATCATATGCATAGGGGACGGGGCAGAATTTATACTCAAAAGAGCTTTGATAAGTAAAAGCAGAACTAAACAACCAATATTTCTTAGGGGTTAATTGCAATAAAGTCCGTATTTCTGTTTGTGGGCAAACAATGGCCTGAAATAATGAGCCACCATCTCCTTCCGTCTAAAAGCATGACTGCTTCCATGTCTCAAGATAATTCACATCCCCCATCATGCACTGATGCTTTACTTTGAGAAAGCCACTGGATGCGACTGGTAGCACCTCCTCCAATAACCTGAAAAGGCAGTCACGGTCAGAAGCAAAATGAACACAGTAGCTTGGCCTGGTGGTATCCTTCCACAGATGGTACACATTTTGTGGAACTGACCCGCGTCAAAATATAACACAACTACTCCTAATAAACGGCTTGCAAGAAGAAATTATTTAATTGGTAGCCTTATCCAATCACAATCTGAAAATCGTAAATAGTTCAACAGAGTCATAGCGGGATTCTTACAAGCAGTCTTTGTGACCATACCACTTTCCTTTCAGCTGGGCATCAAAATAATGTAATTTCATCAGCACCGTCCCTTCAACTTATTGTTAAAAATAGCATAAGCATGATACACTAATGAAATGGATATGCTCAATGCAATGAGGTAATGCAATAAATCAATGGTCTTTCCTAAGAGGTGTAACACAAGCAGTAGTAGAGAAAAACAGCTCTGTCTTCTCTGCTTGTTTTTTCTTCTTCCTTTTCTTTTCTCTTCAGAAAAAAAACAAAATGCTGTTTCAGAGTCTAGTCTTGCTGCTGGCCACATGACCGTACAAAATATCTTCGGGCAACATGGCTCCCTCAGCCAACAAATGGAGATGAGCACCATGACCTACAGTCGGACACGGCTGGACAGGGGAAACCTTTGCCTTTAACATTGCAGGACTATGATTATCCTGTGTTCATCGAGTTGCAATCAAATCAACCACAGTTTGGCATGACATCCAAATCCAGTCTTGGGAATCTATAAACCCAAGAACTACTTCTCACGCTGTACTGCACTTTCTTATAGATGCACACTAAATAAAAAGACTTTGGATCTCCTTTAAGTTTAAATGCATGCTCAGGTAGTCCTTGGCCTATAACAGTTCATTTAGTGACTGTTTGAAGTTACAACAACAGTGCAAAAAGTGATTTATGACTGTTTTTCACATGACCGTTGTAGCATCCCCACAATCACGAGATCGAAATTCAGATACTTGGCAACTGACTCATATTTATGATGGCTGCAGTATCCCGGAGTCGTGTGGCCATATTTTGCAACCTCCTGACAAGCCAAATCAATGGGGAAGCCAGATTCACTTAACAACCATGTTACTAACTTAACTGCAGTGATTCACTTAACAACTGTGACAAGAAATGTCATAACGGGGTAAAATTCACTTAATAAGGGTTTTGCTTAACAACAAAAAAATTGGGGCTCAATTGTGGTTGTAAGTCGGGGACTACCTGCGTCTTCATTGGAATATGGATATAACCTTAAAGTAGTCTCAATCCTTCCAAAGCAGAAACAAATGTCCTTTTCCCATCATAAATAAGTTTTAATTTGTCCTGTTTTGGAAATTACTGCTTGTATGTTATTCTTAGGAAATCCAGTAAGTTTTGTTTTCAATATTTTAGAATAAATGCTAATGGGGAAATAGATGAGGCTTCTTCTCTACACAGCGTTAACACTGGTGAAATATTTTATCAGACAGAAAATAATATAGGCTGCCTTAAATAAAATCTCAGGTTTCTTTATCGCCCTGATGAGAACACAGCTACACATTGGAAATGTCATTTGAGTTTTACACAATGAGATAGTCATAAGGGTGCTTCCATACGGATTTGCCATTTCATTAAACTATTGTAAGAGCTTATGGAGTGCAGAGTTCATTTCAACATCTGGTTTAACGTATTTTATCCCACACTATGCTTTTGGAAAATATGCTGTGGTCAAGACATCTGGTAAAGTTCTAAAGAGGCATGCTGCACAGAGAATGAAATATGACTTTCTATCCTGCTTGTTTGTACAAGAGCCAAGAATAAATAATTGTGATCTTTTCATTTAAGGGGCATTGTTTTCAGGGAAACTAAATAATGTAAGGTTGAAATGTCCATACTTTATCAAAAACTGAATTAGATTTTATATACCATCCTAGAAGCAAGATCTAAGTAAACTATAACAGTGAAGATTCTTTAGATTGTTTGAGCAAGACTGTGTTTTGTGTTTTGCACATGATCAACAGGTCTGAAGAGTTTCCAATATTTTTGGATGTTACTTCAGTATTCCAGATAAATCTCAGAACATCAACACACAATAAACTTCCTGGTCATAAGCAATGAACTTTCAGATTATTTGTTTCCAAATGTGATTTAGGAAGCCTTAGATTCATATATCTCACTAGCAGAAAAAAAAATAGTATACTTTATTGTCTGTTTCTACAGTAAAACCAAGCATGGTTTTCTATTATGGATGACTGCTTTATCTGCTATATGAATCCTTTTATTTGATTTATTTAATTGTTTATATGAAATATTCTTATCTGTAGGTTCCAAAATATTCTTAGGTACAGCTTCAAAGCAGCATTTGTAGTCTACCGTGCCAGACTGAATTCTAATATCTCTCAATGCCTTTTTAAAGTCCAAGCAATAGATGAATCAATATCGTAACAAAAGGACTACAGCAAAGAAATCTCATTTAAGCACTGAAAATTCAACATTAACGGGGCTATGCATTGCATGAGTTACAGCAACAAATCTAACTGTTTGCCGTTCAAGTACTTTCTTGTGGAGTGGTATAACTGTAGCAGGTAGTACAGCTTGGCAGTAAGGCTACTCAAAGAAGACAGATTCTTCCATGGCCATGAGAATTATCTTCTGAAGGCAAATGGGGAAATGAGTGAAACTCTGAGGGTAATAAATTACTCCCATCCATTAAACAGAATCTTCCTGTTCAAAACTGATAGAGAACAAACTGTTCCTTAGTCTTAGAGTGACCTATCATTGTTTTGCAATATTAAAAACGGGTTTCCTTTATCAATTTATAAGCAATGTTTAAGCAGTCAGACTATTTTCCCCCATACACAAATAGGAATATTTGGCAAAACGTTGGGATGTACCTTTGGAGTGCTTCCCTGAAGGCCTTTTAGGCAATGACTCCTCAATGGAATGTGCTGATGTGTGGAGTGCATTCTCTAAACTGTTACCCACCACATGGTTTATGGGGGTCTCGGATCGCGGAGTGACCTAGGTAAGAGAAAAAGTACAAGAAACCAACCGTCAATTTGGCTTACGTGAGTTAAAAATATTCTTAAAGTCCAGTTATTTCTAAAGCAAAGTTATTTTCAACTTGCTATCTTTTAGAAAGCATCTTCAGGCCCCAGAATCTAATTACAGAAGGTTAATGCTCATATTTCTGTTATACCTATGTTAATTTGCTTTCTATGAAAAATAATTCTCAAAGCAAAAAAATCTGCTGTGTGTCTCAGACACGTTCCTGAGGTAGCGTCACATTTCATTTTGTTTGAAAAGACTTAATAAATCTTGCCCTAGTCTCAGACTTCACTAATCAAATAATTACAGTGACTCACTTTTAGCAAATACATGGACCAAAAAAGCACCAAGTACTTCCAAGTGCCGCACTTAAGATACCAACTATTATTCTACTTACCTATCTACTTAGCTATCTAAGAACGGCTTCTGCTGAGTCAATAGCCTCAGATACACTGTGTGAATTTTCTCAGCAGGAAATGCAACAAGTGTTCTTTACAGCAGGACACAATTTCTGTAACTCAATATGTTCCAAATACTTTTACCACATGGATTGTTTTTTTTAAAATAGACCACTGGCAAAAGGGGTCCCCTACACATCACTTCCCCTGTAAGAGAGCCAGACAGCCCATGATAGTCAGATCCTAGGTGACCTAATCTGCTTGAAAATTGGCCTCAGGTTGCTGTTCACCATCTAAGCCGTCTTGCCAGCTCCTCCTGGCCAAGATCAACCGCCTTCCACACGGTATCCAGCATATCGTTTTCTCCCATTCCTGAGCCGAGGGGCACATGCACAGAGCTGCATCTGGCCATTCACCATTGCTATACTATAATGCCCAGGGCAAACCATTTATTTCCAATACATATCTGACCCTATTGCCAATCTAAACAAATTGTTTTTTAATACCATCCAAGCTTTTATCTTTCTACAAAATATACTTGCAATGGCTAAGTGAAAGTGAAAACAAACTTTATTCTAAATGATTCACGTGTCCATCAACCATGCAGAAATAGGAATTTATAATCTGGTAGATCAGGGCTTTTCAACCTTTTCACCCATTGTACCACTTTTAGGATATGGCAATATCTGAGCACCACCAGTCGCCTAGCAAGGTGTCAAAAACTTCATGACCAAAAAAAAAAAAAAAAAGGAAAAAAGTGATAAAGTACAGGTAATCCTCGACTTACAACAGTTCGCTTAGTGACTGTTCGAAGTTACAATGGCACTGAAAAAAGTGCCCCCCCCAAGGCACAGCTGAGCAAGACACCTGCCTGCCCGCCCAGCGGTGCTCTCATTCCCCTCCCCCATTACCACTTTTCTAGGATGGCCGCGTACCACCTGCCAGGTGCCATTGTACCACAGGTGGTACCCGTACCACTGGTTGAAAAGCCCTGTGGTAGATGGCAGGAATTCTAACGGTTTTTTAACATTCAATAAAAGAAGGAGAGTATGAGATTTGCTGTCAATGTAACTTATGCTACAAGGTTATTTGCAGTAAGAATAGTTGTGCTGGGCACAAAAAATGTATCATATCAAGGATTATACATAATAATGCACCCTGCAATCAGTTTATTTCAATTCCATATAACACTAATGCCTCTCTGTGGAATTGTAAATAAACCTAATTAGATTTAGACCCTGGTTTTACAAACTAATCAAATCAGTTATGACAGTGTTTCTCAAACTTGGCAACTTTAAAGATGTGTGGACTTCAACATTGTAACCGGTAGCCATGATATAGCACTCTACCAAACCTAGGAAGCTAAAGACAAAAGAGGAAAACCTATGATGAGTTAGTGAGGGAGAACACTTACCAAATGTATCAACTCAGCCTGTTTTCGCCTAATATCCCAAACTTGATCTGATTCACCCTTTTTTCTTTTGAGAGTTTCAAGTTTGGGATTCGTTAATAATGTGATAACGTTATCAAATTAAGCATGTTCCGCATGCAACCTTTTCTTTGAATTAGCCTATTTTTCCTCAAGTCCTAACATGCATTTTTCTTTTTCTATTAACATTGCAAACTTTTAATTGTCAAAGTTATCAGGAAAGATACTTTCACAAACTGTTAAATTCAGCTCTTGACAATGAGTATATGAGCAAACTTTAAATTTGTTCCATAGCAAACACTAACAAGTAGGTGATCTCTGCGTGCCTTTACGTTAACGCAGCTTGGAAAATTAATGCCATCTTTTTAGATTATTATGATTCAGGATGACTCTCATAAAGATCTTTAAAACCAGAAATGAATACTAATATTAAAAAAAATGTAGCACAAAATCCCACTGAATACTTTTTATTCAATCAGGAGTTAATTGGTGTGTGAATACATTAGATTTTGTTTTACACAATACCTACAGGGATACACAGCATTTTTCATCTCAGTGTATTTTCTGGCTACTCCTGCAAGTCCCAGCTCTGATTCAAAATGCTTGAATTTGGCAAAGCATGAAGTATAAATTAGACTTACTTTGTTAATCCCCAAAGTTAGATTGTTATAGAAACACATGAAGCTAGATGGAGATGCTTACAAATGACATTAAACAAGTATTCAATCAAGAATTTATATTTAACAGTATTTGAAGTATTGTTAGCTGATTCAGTTGCTTATGTAAATTGATACTTAATCCTGTGTTTTTGTTTGAGAAATGAAACATTGCCTATGGTATTAAGTTTTGAGAAGTAAACCAACTGAGTTTATTCTTTGGAACACAGGATTGTAACAAAAATCTCCTCGCACTGGGTTCTGTTTGATGAAATACATAACGTAGAATGTATTAACAGTAGCAACAGAATTAACCCACTCTTACTAGATCAGTGTTCCCCAATTTAATCATGATCCAAGTGCACTGTTCTTTATTCCAACACTGGAGGTTTTTAAGAAGAGATTGGAAACCATTTGTTTGAAATGGTATAGGGTTTCCTGCCTGAGCAGGGGGTTGGACTAGAAGACCTTCAAGGTTCCTTCCAACTGTTTTTCTTATATCCTCAATTTGCACCGCGGGGGGGGGGGGGAATCCACATCTGTATGGAAGCAAGATTGTGAAGAGTGGGTTCAAATTTGTATAGTCCAAATGCGGTATAGTCTTAAGAGCATTTGCAGTGCTTATATTGAACTTCAGGAGACCACAATGAGAAGAGCAACATGCTTGCCTCAAGCCACTTCTGAGGAATTAAACCACTGTACAAGTTCCTTCCTTCTTGAACTATATCTCTGCATCAGCAAATTTAAAAGCATTCATCTCTGCTTACTGATTCCAGTTATTATGAAACACTGAACTCTAATATGAGCCAAAAACATATAAAATAAAAAAGATACTGAAAGTTTCACATTGAGGACATTTAAAATACACACACTACTGAAGGAAATTAACTTTAGCAGGTCCACATTGCATACTTCCAATGGATTACGACAAGTTGTGAAATAGTTTTAAACAATTGTCACTGATGATGGCCAAAACATCTGTCCAGTCTCAATTCCTGGTCACTAAAACTGTTTCACAAAACCAGGCTGCTTTTTATAAAATAAACAAAAGCCTCTTCTCCCAGCTGTATTAATGGGAGAAAAAAAACCAATTTAACTCCTGGGGCCAACATTTATATTACAATCCCTAGGCCCGACAGGCTGGACAGCTACATAGCTTAGGGAAATCTGTATCTTCTTCCAAAGATTGGAGAAGCAACTTTTGACTGAAAGATGCCCCTTTCCAAAGGGAAAGGAAGTGGGAAGAGGCAGTGGTGGTGAAGACTGTTATAGACACAAAAGAGGGGACAGAGAGTAGAACCCTGGACACACGGTCCATCTCCTCTATCTCCAGCCCCCTTAACCACGGTCTGCTTCCCTTCCATCCCCCTTAACTATGGCCTTTGTCCCTTCCAGCCCCTCCAGCTCCCTTAACCATGATCTGCTTCCTTTCCAGCCCCCTTAACCACGGTCTGCATCCCCTCGGGCCCCCTTGTCCCTTCCCATGGGCCTCCCAAGCCCGACACCCACCTTGTGGCACCCAGGGCAGGTGGCCCCCCCGCCGGCCCCCCCGGCGGGGGCGCTGACGGGGGGTCCCTTGGCGGTGCAGGCCAGGAGGCTCTGGATCTTGGTGAGCTCCTGCCTCAGCACCTGCTTCTGGTGGAAGCTGAAGGCCGGGTGGTTGGAGGCCATGGTGAAGAGGAGCAGGAACTCATCGCCGGTGCGGCCCTCGTTGAGCTGCAGCCCGTAGTTGTGGATGACCGAGTCGAGGTGCGTGAGGGTGCGGAAGAGCACGCCGGCCGCCTCGCGGTGCGACGAGCCCAGCAGCGCCAGCGAGACCAGCAGCTTGCTGCGCACCACCTCGTCCGTCAGGTTGGTCAGGCTGCCCAGGTCGGCCGCGTTGTTGGCCTTGATCTCCGAGTCGCGCAGCGAGTGGTAGTCCTTGCGCGCCAGGTCCTCCAGGCAGGCGCCCAGGAAGCGCAGCTCCAGCGGGATGCAGAGGTCCAGCAGGCCGCACAGGAACTCCACCCGCTGCGGGGACGGCAGCTCCGAGAACCAGCGGTAGACGCTCTCGCGCTGCAGCCGCGGGCAGCGCTTCTCCACCATGCTGCCCCGCGCCGGCCCGCCAGCCAGCCGGCCCGCGAGCGCCCAGCTCAGCCGGGCAGAGCCGCGGGGTCGCCCGGGCAGGGCCCGAGGGGCGGGGCCTCAGCAGCCCCTCGGGGGAGCGAGCGAGCGAGCGAGCGGGGGGGCTGGGCCCGTCTGAGGGGGGCGGGGGGCGCCTGAAGCCTCCTCGGGCCTCCCCGGCGCGCTTCGCGGCTCTCCTCAGGAGGCGACTCCTCCTTCCCGCCGCCGCCGCCGCCTCGGCCCGGGGGCTCCCTCCATCCCTTGGCCGCCGAGGGGAAGAAGGCCAGGCGGCAGCACCTCACCCTCGCCGCGCCCGCCGCGCTCGCCTGCTCGCCTTGGCTCTCCGGGGATGCACCGCCTCCGCTGCCCGCTCGCCCGCCCGGCGCGCGACAAATAATCCCGCGACAGGAGGCGACGCTGCCGGGCGGTGCTTTTCCCCCGCTGCCGTTATACGTGGGAGGGATTCCGCGGGCGGAGGGATCCGATCCGGCGCAGAGGGTGAGGAGGCACGGCCGGCAAGAGAGGAGCGGGAGGCCGGATCTTCCTCACCTCGCCCACGCCCCTCTCTCGCTCTCGGGCGCGTCACGATTGGCCCGCGTTCCCCTCCGAGGCCCGCCCCTTCATGCCGGCCTCCCTCTCACCACCCACCTAACGGGACTCCGCCGGGCGGCCGCCGCTGTCACTCACGGCTCGCCCCCAGGCCCCGCCCTTCGGCGGGTCGCGATTGGCTCTGGCGAGGCCAAAGAGGTGTGGCCGGGAGAGGGCTGTTTCTGCGCGTGTTTCGGGCGCGTGCTAACTTGCGCTGTCTGACAGGAGGGGGCGGGGGCTCGCCGGTCCATCGCTGACCGATGGGGCGGGGCTTGGGTAACCTAGCAACAGGGAGAGGAACGGCTCCAGAGAGTGAAGAGAGATGGGAAGGAGGGGGGGGGTAATAAAAGCTCGGGTTGCCTAGCAACCGGGTCATTAGCACGGAGGGACCCAGGAAACGGCCTGAGGACGGGAGATTCCCTCATGGCCAAGAAGGCTCCCCCCGCCCTCCCCAATCACCAGCGACCCTCTGGGGCCAGATAGGCCTACCTCGCAGGGTTGTTGTGAAGGCAGAAACGGAACGCTATATTGTATCCAAGGAAGTTACACTGGGTCAACCATGTGGAGAGAAGACGGGAGGAATAACAGAAACTGATCTATTAATACAAATAAATACATAAATCAGTAAACAGCCCGAGGGTGGGAGGCTCCTGTGTGGCCTTGAAGACCCCTCTCCTTCAGCCAGCGATCCAGACTGGCCCACCCGGCAGGGTTGTCGTAGCCCAGGGAATGTATTAGTCTTTTCCACTTCGACCATGTGAAGGAGGGAAGATGGACACAATCGATAAATACAAATCAATGGAAGCCATAAATGCCTCCCAGGCCCCCAAGAAAGCCGAAGGGACCCCTGCCAACTCCTCCCAAAAGGACCACAGTGACCGAGACAGCTGAGTGCTTGACCACCTAGGAGAAAGTCCTAGGTTTGAACTTGGCACCCTATAAAGAAGAGGCACTGTCGGGGGGGGGCAGCCACCAAGCCCTGGACCCCCCCTTGCTTTGAGGAGGGGCTGCTCCAACTTGAAGGCTTCTGCATTTTTTCCCTGGAGAAACCCACCTGGGGACTGACTTCTGGAGGGCCCACGATCCAGCCGTTTGTGGAAACCCACCTTCGGATTGAGTGGCAATCTTAACCTAAATGGAGGATTCTGCCATCCTGTGTGAACCCAGACTTCACGTTCCAGGTATTCCGCAGTTTCTGACTAGTTGCTTTCCTTTCTAATTCTTTGCTCTATCTTCTTCTTCTTGTGCCATATCCGTTATCGGACGTTGGCGATCATGTTGGCGATCCTGTTTTTATCAGCAGCCGCACGAAAAAGTGCTGCTGAGTTATGTCCAAACCAGTCCCTTAGATTTTGAAGCCACGATGTTCTTCTTCTGCCTGGACCTCATTTGCCTTCAGTCTTTCCCTGGAGGATTAAATGGAGTATGCCGTATTTTTCTGGGTGTCGCATCCCATGTCCGAAGTATTCTAACTTTAGTTTTTTAATTGTTTTGGTGATTTCCCTGGGCTTTCCCAGGCGGCTTATCACCTCCTCATTTCTGATTTTGTCAACCCAGCTTATACGGAACAGCCGCCTGTAAATCCACATTTCAAATGCTTCTAGTCTCTTCATGTGGCCTTCTGTCAGAGACCAACTCTCTACTCCATAGAGCAGGATAGAAAAAATATAGCATCTGACAAGCCTGATTTTCAGTCTTAGGCTTGTCTTCTCTATAGTTATCCAAATAGGTGAGATCAGTCTTTGTCATCCCTGGCGAGTTTAAGATGGGTGGACTTCAAGTCCCAGAATTCCCTAGGAAATTCTAGGAGTTGAAGTCTACCCATCTTTAAATTCGCCAAGGTTGAGAAACACAGGATAAGAATCAAGAGAGATCTAATATTTACAGGTAGTCCTTGACTTACAACCATAATTAAACCCATCATTTCTGTTGCTAAGCGACGCATTAAGTGAATTTGCCCCATTAAGTGAATTTTGCCCCAGTTGTTAAGTGAATCACCACAGTCACCATACCATGGTTGTTAAGTGAATCTGGCTTTCCCCAATGACTTTGCTTGTCAGCAGGTCACAGAAGGGGATTGCGTGACCCCGGGACACGGCGACTGTCAAAAACATGAGTCAGTGGCCAAATGTCTGAATTTTGATCACGTGACCATGGGGATGCTGCACCGGTCATAAGTGTGAAAATTGGTCATGTCACTTTTTTCAGTGTCGTAACTTTGAACAGTCACTAAGTGAACTGTTGCAAGTTGAGGACCACCTGTATTTTAGCTGAATAATTTCCTGCCTGCTTCTGGATGTGGCTCGATATTGCTATATTTTGGGATCATTTTCTCCTTCTATCAAGTGAAAGACGATGGATTGTTTCTTTTTAACAGTGAAATGAAATCCCGCATTCATGAGAATGCTTATCTTTTCAGATAATCTCATCTGCCTGGTGACTGCATAGGGACAAATATGCTTTAAATCAGTTTAACACAGATTGGTACTGAGTTCACACATTCCACTAAATCCCAGCCTGGTGAATAAACTGCTGTTGAGCGTTTCTTCCACCAATGGTCTCTAAAACAAACCAAGCATAGTTCAGTAGGTGGATTAAAAGGAAGAATGCCGTTGCTTACACATGCTCTGCATGTTTGGGCTTTTATAGGAAAAAGAGTAATAAAAATTGATTAGAGCTAATTGATAATCTGCGAGCTGCAGTTCCAAATCAGACCCGATGTTGGCTGAGGACGTCTGCTTGCTGTCTTCCTCTTTGGCTACTGTGGAAAACAGGATGCCGAATAAGAGAGATTTAGTTTAGTCTTGGCCAGGCACTTGCATTTTATTATCTTAGATGCCATTAATATAATAAACAAGGTTGTGGTACATCGACGTATGGTGGGTGTCCTCTAGTGGCTATTTCCGTGATAACATTATGCTACAGTACAAATCTTCCTTTCCTTGTCCATGAATAAGTTGGTAGAAAAAACAAAAAATATGCCCGTACTTGGAAGAAAAAGATAGAGAAGCAAACAAGGCTTAAACAGAACAAAAATAATACAGTCATGTTGGCAGATGCAGCAAAATAGCTAACATATATGAACATGGCTGAGATTGAGATGTAGCCGTAAAAAATACAATGAATGAAACCATCATACATCTAACTTGGTTGTACAAATCTTCATTTAGACTCTACTATTTCAGATTGGCAACCTGTGATTATTGGATAAAAATAATGAGACATTGCTGATTACTTAGGTGTGAATTAAGTATCTGAACATTTCAGTTATAAAAACCTGGTGGGACAATTCAGTCATTGCCTTCTGAAAATAACTGATACGGTGCAGCCTACAAACCACATCTGTGCCCTGCATTCACACACCACAATATGGTCAAACCAAGCAACTCACATTCTAGTTTTGGGGACTGTTAAGGATTGTGATGGTTTTGAACAGATACTCAGACTTTGCAGCTTGTGTGGTTTTAAAAAGTACACATCCACTGACAGACGTGACAGCTCCAAGCTGGGATTTAGCCCCCATCACTTGTCAGTAGCCGGATGGCTTCAGATTTCAGCCAGATTTTGTGCATGGGTGATGACGTCATTTAGTATAAAGGAATAAAACTACTCGTGAGGCCACCATCTTGTCAAATACCATCTCATGTCTCAGCAAGTCACCAAATGGAACAAGGAACATTCAGTCTGGTTACTGCCACCTTTATATCTAGCAATGCCACATTCCCTTCTTTGGTCTCCCACGTGCCTTTTTCAGGGGGGGGGGCACACTGCCAATAGCACCAATAGACCAAGAAGGTATTTATAACTCTGGGACTAACCCAATGGGCTGCTGCCAGGGAAACGGGGATGCTAAAACTATTCCAACAATTTGTTCAGGGAGATTGAAAATCAGCGTTTGTGCTTCAAAAGCAGCAGGTCAGCTTCCCTTCCCCCCCCCCCCGCCCAGGAGAGTCCTGAGTTCAAGAGGTTGACTTTCTCTCCCCCATGGAGCTCTG